CAAAATGCACATATTTTAAACAAGGTATTTTCGTCATTCAACATTTAAATACAAACAATTTTTTTTTCAATCATGCAAATGTTCAAAAACTAAGTTAGTCATATTTTAGGGAAGCTTAATGAATTTTAGTCATATTCTATAAAAAAATTTGATTTTTTTGGATTTTCTTTTAAATATGCTACATATTTGTTTTTTACTCGTGACTTAATGGAAAAGACACGAACTATTTATCGTAGATAAAAGAATAAACGTGTTATTCGGGATATTGAATTGGGGAGTTCACTTGTGAATTTTCATTTTTTTTAACTTTTGGACATGACTCAACGTATTACTCTATCTTATATCACTTTTAATATCTATTTTAAATATCAATTTTTTATCAAATTTGATTTTGGTTTTGCAACTTTGTAAAGCTTTTAATGTAGCTTCTAAGTGTGTAATTATTTTTTCTTAAAATGATTTGATTGCAGACATGGATCTGTTTGTTTTATCGTCGGTCAAGCATCTGTTCTGCAACATTCTTAGTTGTACAGAGGCGGTATATAATACTAGCCGTATTATTTATTACCATTATTAATATTACATAGTGTGCATTGTTTTTGTTTTCAAATAATAATTTTGAAGTTTTTTCTAAAATATTATTGAAACGCATTATATTGACAAAAATATTACTATGAGTGTTAGGGCTGGGGCAAAACGGTTAAATTTAATTAGCCTGAATGGAATCAGACTGGAAATTAATACTTCATACTTTGGTTTGGTTTCACTAAAGTAGACCGTTTTATAATTGATATCTCATCGATAAAAGGACAATGATATCGTAAAGATAAGGGCTAAGAGTTAGAGAGAGAAATTAATTTGATAATAAATGAGTAGAGAACTTTACACATGATCCACAAGAGAGAGATTTATACTAGTAATATGGTTAGTTTATTAAGTACATGTACATGTGTCAACTAATCTATGAGCGAGAGTTCTGATGCATGTGCAGTAGAATGTGACGCGTGTCCTTTGTTGGTAAGCTGTTGCGGTAGTAGATGAGTCAGGACGAGGTGATTGGGCCATCGTCCAAGTTACGTTGTTCATTAGCCTAGGGTGAATTTCCATATGGGTTGATCCAGGATGAGGTGTTCATGTCGAGGGACCTATACGGAACGATAAGTATCCGGTGTGCTTGCAGTCTGATTTCACTCTTTTTGGGTGTTACTATTATCTGTGGTCCGTGTCTGGTTGAGGGGTCCAGTCTGGGTTGGTAGTTCATATGGGTCTTGGGCTGCTTGTGAACTAATGAGTAAGTGGACCATGGACTAGGGGTGGACAACCGGACCGGCCCGCTACTGTGCGGGCCCGGACCGGCCCGGTGAATCGGTTGGTTGGCCGGTTCGGGCCACCCGGCCCGGAGGGATCTCGGTTCGGGCTCGAGGCCTTCAAAAGGTGAACCTGCCCGGCCGGTTCAGGCCCGAACCGGGTCAATTTTTTTTTATTTATTTTTTTTTTTGAATTTTTTTTAAGTTTTTGGGTTGGGCTGGGTATTTTGGGCCATTTGAGGTGGTTAGGGTTGGTTTGGGGGTAAGGGGGGGGGGGGGTTGGGGGTTAACTAGGAAAAGCCCAAAAAAAAGAATATAACCGAGGCCCGGGCCGGCCCGGCCCGGACCCGGTGGTTACCCGGGCCGGTTCCGGGCCTCCCATACCTTGAACCAAGGCCCGGCCGGTTCAAGGCCCGAACCGGGCCCGGACCGAACCGAGTCCATCCCTACCATGGACCTGAGCTCATATATTGTATCAATAACAATATGCTCAAATAAAATGATTTGATTTAATTTAGTTTGGTTTTTAAACCAAAAAACGTAAACTGGACCAACCAATTTTAGATATTTATTAAAATACTTTATATTTGTTTTCACTCATCTTCATATTTAGAATATAAATAAATAATTTAAATATGAAAACACCTGGTTAGCGCACGCTGTTTTAAATTCCACAATATACATTTTGCATATTTCTTACATTTCATACTCCATATGAAAAGATGTTTGGTGATGCCAATAGCACATTACATTTAAATCATGTAAACTAGAATATATATATGTTTGACATGATATATTTATATAAAAATAAGAATTGTACAACATTTTTCTTGTCGGCTCATTTAATTTTTTTTTAATATTTTAGGTGAAATTATAAATGCTAATCAACTGCAAAGTTAACTTTTGTGAGAGGTAAATATTTTTCCAAGTGATTGAGAAGATATTAAACTTTTTCATGTCATCAATTCTAGTAAGAAAAATTAAGTGCTAATTTTTAATATTTTATTATCTTATCTATGTTTTATTTCTCTTCACATTTTATTCAAATAATAATTATTATTACTATTTTCATTTTCTATTTCTAACAAATAGAACTTCAATCTATAGATGAAACAAATCAATAGTCATACAAAACCAAATCAACTCAAACTAAATTGAACCAAATCATTTTTATTTAAATAATACGAACTTGAAACCAAACCCAATTTAAAACAAAAGGGTATGAAAAGTAAAATTTGAGACTCATCCCCTTTTGAACAGTTTATTCAAACTTCGTTTATACATTAATGGTTCGAAAGCTAAAATTTTAACTGCGATTCATTTGTTAATAAAAAGTGAGAAAATTTTGAGTAAGAGCATTTAGCAATTCTATTGTTGGATTCGGGCCGGGTCGGGCCCGGTCGGGCCGCCGGTTCAAGAACAGTGGGCCCGGGACCGGCCCGAGGGTTGGACGGGTCCGGTTCGGGCCGGGCCACCCGCCCGGGTCACGGGTCGGGTCCGGTTCGGGCCGGGCCGGTTAATTTTTTTTTATAATTTATATTTTATATTTTATAGTTTATAATTTTATACGAGTATTAAAAACAAACTTCAATTGCATTTATTTGAAATGAAATAGGAACTACATTTGAAAATTAAAACAAACTTTAAGAGATAAAGTGATAAACATTTTGAAAATTGTAATCAATCGGAACTTCCCGCACCTCCCGATCCTTTGGCTTTGTCACATGACTTCATATGCTTGATTGCCATCCCGAATCCGCCTGAAGCACCCATAATACATTTTTTTTCGCACCATTTACAAATTGCGTACCACATCCCGGTCTTCGGGTCCTTCTGCTTATCAAAATTATACCGTATAATGGCATTTTGATTTTCCATCTTAACTTCTTGGAGAAGAGAATTAGAGAGTAGATATATAATATATTGGAGAATAAGAGAATTAGAGAGTAAAGAGTTAAGAATTGGATTTAGGAAGAATTGGAGAAGAGATATGAAAAAATGTTTAAGAGTAGGAGAATTTATAGGTTTTTTTACCCTCCACCCCCACCCCCACCCTACCAGCCAACCCCCCCTTTACCCCACCCAACGGCTATATAGCCGTTTGGGTTGTCCCCAGCCCCACCCCCAACGGCTAGTAGGAGCCCAACCCAAAAAAAAAAAAAAAAATTTAAATTTGATCGAACCCGACCCGGGCCCGGGCCCGACCCGGCCGGGCCGGGTCACAAAATTGCTGAACCGAGCCCGCCCCGCTTCTTCCCCCGGTTCGGGCCCAGACCCGGTTCCGGACCGCCCGGCCGGGCCGGTCCCGGGCCCGCACAGTACTGGGCCGGGCCGGGTCACGGGCCGGGTGGCCCGAACCGAATCCACCCCTAAGCAATTCCAAAATAAGATCTATATTTTTCTCATAAATAAGTAAGTTTCACTACTATAAAAATTCATTATAGTGAAAAAACCCTTTGAAATTTTAAAAGAGGTGTTATATTTTTATACCTTTCATAAATAACATTATATTTTTTTCAAATATACAGTAATTACTCGTATTCAATGAATAAAAATATAACACCTCTTTTAAAATTTCAAAGGGTTTTTTCCTCCTAGGTAAGGCAATTCCTTAAATGATATTGTTTTACATTCATCTCAATTTAGATTCTCAAATAATACTCCCTTCATTCTTAATTAATAGTCTTCTTAAGGTTTTTTGTAGTTTTTAAGAAGGAAATAGACAAATAGTAAGGTGGTATAGAAGGTGTAGGGTAAATGAAAAGACAAAAAAGAAGATATATTAAAAGGAGTAAAGTAATAAAAAAAAGTAGGAAAAAGAAAGTAATATATAAAACGAAAAAGGGATAAGGTCATAAGGATAATAAAAGTTGGAATATAAAAATGTTTTGATTAATAAAACTTACTAAATAGGAAAAGAGGGACAAATAACAATAAAAACTTCGAAAAAAGAATACAAAACAGTTATTAAAAAATGGAGGATATTTTTTTATTGATTTTGAGTTTTTGACTAATAATTGATAGTCACATAATGGGTGAGAATTATATGTTAACAAATGTAAATATGGACAACCATATAAGGAATAAATGAAGCATAAAATGGTACAAGAAATTCTACCATTGTAAAAAACGGTGTATTTAGGATGGACCGGGCCCAGGCGGGTCCGGGTCCGGGTTAGGCTTTGGGCGATACAAGGCTTGGGAGTTGGCGGCCCGGTACCGGCCTGGGTAGGTTCCAGGACCGGGTCGGTTCATTTTTTATAATTTTGTTTTTCTTATTTATTCTTCCCCCTCCCACCCCACCCCCACCCCCCAAACCACCCAGCCCAACCCGCCTACAACCCAATCCCTTCGAAAAAATTAAAAAAAAAATAACCGGTCTGGACCGGTCTTGGACCGGCCCTGGCGGTTCCAAGACATGTTAGGCACGTGACGCACCCAAAAAACTGCACGGTTCGGGCCCAGGGCCCGGTCCAGGTCAACCAGGCCGGGCCAGTACCGCACAGTGGCGGTCCGGTTCCTGTACCAGGCCGGTCCGGCCAGTCTGACTGGTCCCGGTCCATCCCTAGGTGTATTTGTGTGCAGTATTGAGATCTCTTGTAGAATTCATGATAAATGCGCGTTACAAAGACCAAAGTTCAATAAGCGGTTACATGAAACTAATTTGGAAAGACGAAACCGATAATAAAACATGCTGAACATAATTGGGATTATGGTTACTGGGTTGGATAATCCCAGTCTTCTCTTGCAAATCAAACATTAAGTTTAGTAAATAAGAAACGTGAAAAATAAGATGTGTTAAATTACTATATTACTGTTGTAAAATATCCAAATCTGCTGAAACAAAAAAAATTCTAGCAGACTTGTAAATGACATCAGATTGACAAGGGGATCCCAAAAAAGGGATCCCCTTTCAAAAATAAATGCATGTACAGAAGTAGGACATTACAAGCATTTGAATATAAGCAACTAAGAAACAATAATCAACAGATTAATGTTCTTTAGCCACTGTCTGATTATCAAATGGTAATTAGACACACGAAAACGGCTTCGTACCAGCGTAGACCCTTTTACCATACCGTACTATACAATAGTCAACAGAGTGAATCCCAACCCAACACCCTCCCATGAACATCTGATGCCATCATGATCCAGAAATTGCCGGTTGCAACTGCAGAAGAGACGGTTGTTTGCCTGCTATAAAACACGCAAGTTCTGTTGGAGCAACAACTGATTTTAAAAGCTCCTGCAGTTCCTCACCTCCCACCTTCTCTTTCTCTGCATCACCAACCATTTGTTATAACTTTGAAGCTCAAAAAGACTGGGACCTTTTTGAATTGTTTTTGGCAATATACCAACAAAAACTGAATAAAAAATGGAGAAAAGGGGAAGTTTTCTCTTGATTGATAAGGAAGAGAACCTTAGGAGTGGAGATAGGAAGGCATGGGGCCTACCACTTTTTACCTATTTTACCACTTGGTTGATTTCACATTTGGAAATAGGCTGATTTTACTCTCTTCTTATCACAGAGTATCTTTCTACTATCTCCTCTCTTCTTTATTTCCCAATAAACAACCTATCTTACTATATACAAAAGGGAGTGGAAAATCAGCCTATTTCCCGCCTAAATATCCGGGTCAAAAATATGGGTCGGGTATGCTGAAGGTTTTCATTGTGTTAAAGTATTGTTGTAGGCCAAGGACCAGGCCGGGTTATTAAATGTTGTTATGAAGGGTGTACTACCGTTCACACTGCACAGTACGGGGCCTATAGGTTGTGAGATGATCATTGCGTGTTTGCATGGGTAAAATCCTAACGTATCTGACAAAATCTCTTCTTAGATTAATAAAGTAAAAACTGTGTGGTTGATATTTGTGAAGAGGAGAGAGAAATAACTTTAGCCACATATTTAATACTTTAAATGGAAATGGCAAAGTTTTTTGGGACGTCCAAAAAAAGAAAGTTGGCCAAGTTTTATGGGACCGAGGTAGTATTAGATTCAAGTCCAATTCAACATTTATTTTGGGCGCGTGACTTTCTTTACTGATTGGTCAAATCACATTTTCATTCAGATTGTAAATGTATTAAATGCATTGTACTTATTCTATTGCTCTCAAATGTTTGTTGGATATTACTATGTCACACTTTTGGATCAATGTGATGAACGCAATATCAGCAGCGTCAGTCCTACTATAAAAGAAGACAATTCCGAGAGCAAATGCTCATTCCATCTCACCACAACCATGGCAAATAATGGCAATTGAAAAACATGTGGTCTATCTCTTTAGGAATGTTGACAACACAAAATCAGTTTGGACATTGAGGGTTTGAGATTAATAGAGACATATGAGATGGTAATCCATTCAACGGAAGCATAGACACTAGAAATTATCTTGCATGTCAAAGTAAGTTTTTTTTGTTCACACGTCTGTTAATTGTTTGGGTTTTCTATAAAAAAAATTATATATGGAACTAAAAATTTGAGGGTACTGATAGTCATTATGAGATTTCTTATAATCTATTATACATAGTATATCATGATTGCTTCAATAATACATATACGTATGAAGCAAATCCATCGAAGACATCAATAGGTTAAGCAGTATAATACCGACCAAGCACAATGTATTTCAAAGCTAATTACTATACCTTAGATATATTTTTTGTTTTAGAAATACTTACGATTATAAACTATTTATATGTACTTAGGATAGCAAAACCTTTTAGATATAGTTGAGAACAATAGTACATCATGCGAAGTAGTTAATAGTTTATTATTATAGTATTTAATTAAATTACTTAATTCATAATTATTTCAGTCAACATAGAGAAAGAAGATAATATACAAACTGTACCATTGCTTCTCATATGAATACCATCACTGTATTAGCAGATAAGCATGCAAGAGCATCCAAAATGCATTTGGCATTTGAAGCTTAACTTTCAGAAACACAAACAGAGCTGGGAAATGCCTTGAAGCTCAAGGATTAATGGAAAAGCTATGTTCTCTTCAAGATAAGGTCCAAGGATATGATGACAAAGCTAGCCCAGAATCTTCTCTTGCTGAAAGTCTCAGATTTAAGGTAGAAGAGACTCTAATAGCTTTGACAGGACAAGAAAGAAACATGGAGGAACTAAAAATACAATCTATTGATCTCAAACAAGCATGCAAGCATATTCGAAGGAAAACATAACAATCTTTGTATGAGTGGATCGATTTCAGGGATGTACGGACAATTGAAACGGTGGATGGAGAAGGAGTTGTTGTATAAGGGTATGCTAGGTTTGAGTGGGTAGGTGGGTTTAAATGATGGGAAGTTGAATAGGCTAATAATATTTGGGTCAGAGTAATTAAAGGGGCTGAATGACAGGGATAAATGTAAGAGTGTTTGAAATACTGGGTATTTTATTGGTTGGTATTTTGAAAACTTTTAGTATGTAATTATATATATTCTTATTTATATATCTGTACTTAAATCTAATTGGTTAAAATCATATTATTTATTTCTTTATGCAGGTTTAACAAATATTAAAAACAGATTCTATTCTATTATCATAATATATACGAAGTACTCACTCCGTCCCATATTTATCTTCACAAGTACAATTGGCACACATATTAAGATAGTAAGAAATGTATGGTGGAGAGTTGCGCAGAGGAAAGAGAAATGCGTAAGAATGTGTAAGAATGGTTGTGAACAACGCATTCTTTGCTAAAAAGGGAAAGAAGAGATAAATTTGGGACAGACCGAAAAGGAAAATACGAAGATAATTCCGGGACGGAGGGAGTATATATTCTTAAATGTATATTTGGATAGAAAGTTCTCACGGGATTAGCGAAAAAATCAGCAATGTTTTCCGATCAATCAATGAGCCAAGATCTCTAAATATCTAAGCTGATAAAACAAATGGTAATTACTACTCCCTCCGTCCCTAATAACTTTGTCAAGTTTGACTGGCACGAGAATTAATAAAGTAAAAATTGTGTGGTTGAGGTTTGTTTGAAAGTCAAAGTGACAAATGGATGAAGATGAAGGTCTAAAGGGTGTTAATTTGTGGTTGAGAGAATTAACTGAAACCACAAATTCTTTATTTAAAAGGCAAAGTGGCAAAGTTAATGGGACATCCAAAAAGGGAAAGTTGACAAAGTTATAAGGGACGAAGGAAGTATTATGATAATTTACAAGAGGTAACTTTTTGAAATTTGAGCATTTAGCAATACCATATATTATTTATATTACGGTTTGTTATAATCTGTTTGATTTCTCTGCAGTTAAGAGAACATCAAATGTTAATAGTATATCAAATGCTTCTGTGAAGGTCTAATAATGATATACTATCGTACTACGTATATATTAACACAAGGACACAGTGTTTTATCATAGCAAATGGATGAAGATGAAGGTCTAAAGGGTGTTAATTATAGAAATAAATCCACTTTCGGTCCTACGAGTTTTATGTCATTTCCATATTTAGTCCACATTTTTGATTTTGTCTACTTTTGATACTTGATTAATGTTTCTTGACTATTTATTGTCTTTCTCCAGAGATTTTAACCACCGGAAATATTGCTGAAAGGACTATATATGAGCGAAAACACAATAGTCATGTACTAAAAGTGATCAAAGATGCAGATTAATTGTGGAATTGGTGCGATACTCATAAGACCAAAAGTGAATTTTTTTCGTTAATTATATATTAATATTATGTAATAGTTTCACAATATTTTATTTAGCATATTCATATTATGTGTTATATATTGAATATATATGTGAGGTGTTTGTTTTGTTTTTTCTTCTCTAAACATAATGAATGCAAAGTTCGGAACATGCATGGGCGATCCAACATACAATTGTACATACTCTAGAGCGGTATATTGATATGAAGAAAGAGTTCTTCGGAAGCGTTCTAAAGAATAATATTGAACCTTTTTATCTATAACATTTTATTATATATGATTTCTTATTCTTTTTCACATATTTACACATATCTTTGTATTAATATTATATTATATATTTTGATTACATTTTATACCGTGCATCCCACGGGTGAGAATCTAGTTTCCTTGCAATGCATAAAGTTTGATGGATTTTTACCTTCCAAAGTTGCCCCCAATCCCTCCAAAACAGTAAGATTGGCACGCACGACACACAGAGCTACTTCAAGTGCAGATTGAAGGAGGGTTTTGACTTCTCTTTGAACTAGATCAACCAGATGTCCCTATCATTTCACAGCTGTTATATAACATACATATAAACAACAATGCACAAAGAAGAAACTGCACCAAACTAAAAGAGTTAAGGTTGATGTAAACCTGATCCCTTCCCCAAGGGGGAGATCTTGCATCGTCCATACCACTCCCAGTAAGAGAAGCTAATGAAACAGGGCCTATTGTCTCATTCAAACCACACTCAGCAATTGCCTTATACGCCATATCTGTAGCACGCCTTATATCATCCAGTGCACCAGTGGAAACACGTCCAGAATATATCACTTCTTCAGCAGCCCGCTCCCCAAGAAGAGTGACCAATTTCCCGCGCAGTTCGTCAACAAACAGCAAATATCTATCCTCAGTGGTTGGAGGGATGTAAGCAAATCCTAATGTCCCTCCAGATCTAGGAATTATGCTTAGTTTCTGTCAGTATTAAAAAAATGAAAAGTTATAATTGTGTGCCCCAACATTTTTGTATCTTGAATCAGTGAGTGCATCGCGAAAGGAAAATATAAAGTGTCAATATTAAATTTATTCACACTGCATTCTGTGAATTAAAACCCTCAATGTCACATTCCAAGAAATTCTGAAGCCTGGTATAAGTTGCTTAATGATGTATAAGTGAAGTGTCTGAGAGACCATAAGATTTTGACACACAAAAGCGAAACCTTGGTACAGATATGAGATGCAAAATGTCATGTCCATAATAGCATAAACTATCCCTCCCCGCACATCATATCAAATCTGCCAGTTTAAGTTGTAAACGCTTTTTGAAATTTGTCATTGAAAAGAAGAGAAACAGGTTAAGAAAAGATCTACAGATGTAGAGTGACAGAAGTTGACAAGGATTTCTAAGGTTAGTGCAAATAGCAAGCCCTCAATTACCTCAACCCGCGGTTGCCCTGCAAGAAGACTTGCAACTGCAGTACCTACTACTGCATGGCCTGCTTCATGCCGAGCAACTACTGCTTTCTCATTTCCCTGCAACTTTGAAGTTTTTTTCTCTATCCCCTGTAGCATTAAAATGGAGTTAATTCAGAACCATATTGGCATTAAAACTGTACAAGTGTACATGCAGAGTAACAGGTTAGTACTGCAAGTAAAGCTACATTATTGACAGCTTCCGAGTCTGCTTGGAAGGAGGGTTTTGGAGGGGAAGGCTTACATTTTTAAAAATGAATAAAAGGTAATCGAAATGTTATATAATCATACACTATGTTAACCTTTCAATTTTTATTAAATCTAAAATATATGTCAAGAATAATGATATAGACCAAGCCCCCCAAGACCTTCCCCTCCAAAACCCTCCATCAGTCCATCCAAACAGGTCCTACAGAAAATATTATCAAGGCTGAATGGAAGCAGCAATATAAAATTAAGAAAATGAGAGAAGTCCGAGTAAGATATGACACATATGCAAATGTGTACAAATAGATATATGTGTAGTGCTTTTATGTGTGTGTGTGTGTGTGTGTGTGTGTGTGTGTGTGTGTGTGTGTGTGTGTGTGTGAGAGAGAGAGAGAGAGAGAGACCGCAATTGACCGCTCCACTGCTTGAGTGAAATCAAGTTTTTCAACAAGAAGCTTAGTTTTCCTTCCTGCTAATAATGCGGCCTCATTTACCAAATTTGCAAGGTCTGCCCTGAATAGCATCCGAGAAGAGCAATTATATTGTTAATCTTTTTATAAGATAGAAAGTAACAAGTCATAATAACTCTTCAAAAAAAACATCAGAAAAAAGAGTACCCGGTGAAACCAGTTGTCATTGAAGCAATATTTCCAAGATCCACATCTTGTCCAAGAGGAAGTTCCTTCTTGGATACATGTACCTTCAGAATAGCTTCTCTTCCAGTACGATCAGGTGCTTCTACCTTTAAATTGAGCCGGTATATTTTACAACATGTTATTGGAAAAACATAAATGTACATTATTAAAACCAAATATAAAGAAAGCTTAGGAGATTAGGCAAACAAACCATAACAACACGATCAAACCTTCCAGGACGGCGAAGGGCAGGGTCTAACACATCAGAACGATTAGTCGATCCCAGAACAATCACAGCAGAGTTACTATCAAATCCATCCATCTCCTGCAGTATATTGGTTGACAGTTCACCGTTAGCTACATGTAACCTAGACACGTAAAAGAGGTGGAATGGCATGATTAATAATCCCTACTATAAGAAGCTGGTTTAATGTCGTCTCTCTTTCATCATTGCTACCACCGTATTTACCATCACGTCTCTTTGCTACAGCATCAATCTGATATCCACAAAATATGTATATGTTATGCTCTAGAAATTTTGTATACAACATCATCCAAGCCTTATTCTCAAAGATTTTTGGGTCGGCTAACATGAATCGATTCATGATATCGGAGCCACAAAGGGAAGAAAGATAAGGAAGAAATTTGGTGTGGAAGTGCAAATATTAGAACTACGTCTTATCTTCTTCTGATTTTCTCCTTTTCGCCCTTTTGCTCTCTTCTGATTATTTTCAGTAGAAGCCATAAGGGTTGTTAGTGCAAGAAGAGGGGAAATTTTAGGAAGGTAGATTATACCTCATCTATAAAAATAATTGAAGGAGCTACTAGTTTCGCCCCTTCAAAAAGGGTCCTCACGCGTGATGCCCCGACACCAACATACATTTCTACAAACTCACTTCCGGAACAACTGATAAATGGAACATTAGCTTCTCCTGCAACAGCTTTTGCTAAAAGTGTCTTACCTGTCCCAGGCAGGCCTACCTGTGAGATAATCAGAGCTATGTTTACAACAGATAGCTACAATCAAACGTATCAACGACTTGGAGATATTGACAAGGAAAGCTCAAGAAAGGCAGAAAGAAGTAAGGCAAGGTGGTTCCTCTGAAAAATGATATGAATGCAAACAAACATTATAGTTCTAAAAAATATGCAGCATAAAGATTCATTCTTCGTTATTCCAGTGCTACTGCATACGGTTTCCCACACTGAGGGAGAGTGAGAACAGGAGGAGAGATCCAGGAATAACAACCCAGTGAGTGAATTTGTTTATTTCGACCACGGACCACATACTCCCTCTATCCCATAGAACTTGACCTATTTTAACTTGCACGTGGAATAAGAAAGTGAAAACTGCGTGGTTGGATTTGTGCAAAGGAGAGAGATAACTTTGACCACATATTTATAGGAAAGTTGGCAAGGTTTTGTGGGATTGAGGGAGAATTATTTTCCGCAAGAGCCATGCAGATGATTGACAAACAACATAATTTAACAAAAATATGTTAAGTTGTTTTCCCTTGTAGATTAAGGGAAACCTGTCAAATAAGCCCTCGTAGTATATCAAAAAAGTCAATCAAGCCCTCGAATTAAAGAAACACCCAATTAAACCCACCAACATTACAAAAACACTCAAATTTATAATTTAACAGGTGAGAGTCCGGTTATCAGGTCATATTGCTGATGTGGCGATCCATGTGTTATTTTTAGAATTTTTTGTTTTTCTTTTCTTTTCCTTTTCCTTTTCATTTATTCTCCTACTTTCTTCTCGATCCCTTCTCTTCTACCTGACCTCTCTTATTTTGTTTTCTCACTTTTCTCCTTAGTCATCTTTCCACCCAAAATTTTTCTCCTTCCCTTTTTGTTTCTTATTCTACGTCATTCTTCTTTTATCATCTTTTTTCTTCTTCTTCCATGTGAGGAACTCTGGCGAGGAGGGCGGCTATGGAGGTGGAGCTATTCAGCTCCTGCTGCGACGTCATTGGTTCCGGTCTTTGACAGCGGCGACGAGAATTAGCTTGAGAAGGTGACCAATGTCGCGGTCTTTGTCGGCGGCGCCTGCGGCAGCAATCAATGACCTCAAATCGAGCAGAAGAAATGCATGGTGGATGCCGGAAGACCAATGTGCTCAAACCGGGCGGAAGAAAGAAGAGGATGTGGAAGTCGGACATAGTGGGGGCAGAAGAAGTAGGAGAAAAACAGGGCTGAAGAAAAGAGGAGATGAGCTCGAATTTCCGGCAAACACCTCCGGCGTGCACCTCCGTCAAACACCTTCGGCGCAAGTAACAAGGAAGAAACAGAGGATAAAGAAAGAAGCAGGGGGAGAGAAGAGAAATGGCTGGCGGAACAGCAGAAGAGAAAGATAGAAGAAAGTATGTAGGCTGTGAGCGTGGTCTGGCAAAGAGCAAAGTAGCAGAGGAAAGGACAAGGAAATAGATAAAAAAGAAAAAATATTAAAATAAGACACTTGGACCGTCACATCAGCCATGTAACCAGATAACCAGACCTTTACCTGCTAAATTAGAAATATGATTATTTTTGTAAAGTTGGTGGACTTAGTTGAGTGTTTTTTTGTTCGAGGGCTTAATTGATTTATTTGATATACTACGAGGGCCTATTTGACAGTCTTCCCTTTAAATGACGATAAGGGACGGCCAAACGGGGAACAGAAAATGCATTTACATATTATAATAGAAAGTGCTATATATAGATAAATCAATCTACACCAACAAGGCAACAACTATTGGACCATTTCACTTCAATGGGCAGCACACATGTGAGAGTGTGAGCTTTTAGCTTGAGAGTCTGTTGAATTGTTGCAGTTTGTTTATGCGATGAAGCTTCAAACTTTGATGTTTTTCCTTCCACACCATTTTTTACAAAAGCACAACCTCCCTTTGAGCTTCAAAGCAACGCAATGCTATGCTGCTCTACAAGAACTGGATCTTATATTTCAGTATATAAAAGTTAAAACACTTGAACTCACCAGGAGGACCCCTCGTGGTGGGCGGGCACCAAGTCGTCTAAACCTGTCAGGATTCCTGAGAAATTCCTAAGGAGCATGTAAGGAATCATCATTAATTACAAGTGATGAGCAAATAAATAGGATAATATCAAGGCTTAGGCATAATGATGTAAATATGTGCACAGTCAAACCTACCACTATTTCTTCAAGCTCCTCCTTGGCCTCGTCAATACCTGCAACGTCAGCAAATGTGACAGTTTCACCATGTTTAGGCGCTTTTTCTACTATAGAACCCACAAATTTGCGGCTCATGAGCTGACCAGCTGCATTCTGAAAATATGGTGAACTCAAGCAGTCTCAAATCTATTGCAAAACCTTTTAGCTAGTAAACAAAGAGACGCTGTAGTATATATCAGAGGAAACTCACATTGAACCAATGTAAAATACAAGCTAGGACAACAATGTGGAAAAGTGCTACCTGCAAATGGAAAGAATGATCTGTCATCTGTGTTTTAACAAACTTAATCCATCCTAATGCTTAAGCTCCTGAATGTAAAGTTCCGGATCAGAACAGAGAATACTAAAACAACCATAATATTATAAGTGCACACACACCAAGGCCCAAGGGGGTTACTCGTGAAAACACCAGTCACCAATTTAACAAAAAATGATCTCAGATTGATTGCTGACTACTTATTTAAGTCAAGGAAGTTAAACTTTGACCGATTATATATTTATACACCGTAATATTGATAATATAAAAATGTTCTTTGTTAAAAATAGGGGAATTTTGACTTTGCACCCCACTTTTAATGTGATATTAGACTTTGCACCCCATTTTCAAAAAACTTTGAGTTTGCACCCTATTTCCCTTAAAAAGTGGGGTGCTGAGGTGCAAACTCAAAGTTTTTTGAAAATAGGGTGCAAAGTCCAATTTCACCATAAAAGTGGGATGTAAAATCAAAACTATCCTTAAATTTGACTTCTGGAAAAGTCAAAGATGGCTAAATAAAAGGGGGCAGAGATGGTATAAAAATTGAAAATTAAATGAAAATTTTCTTCGTTAAAAAGACTTCCAAAAAATGTATAGAACTTAGAAGTTTCAAATAAATATTATAACTAAATTCATTGTCCAAAGTTTATTATCATTGAGCAAGAAAATTCAAATTGGCCATGTTTTATGGGACGGATGGAGTATAACTTTTCTATAATTCAGCAAACTCAACCGCTTCGGCCAGAATTTCATTAATTTCAGCAGATTCAATTGATTCAGCTAATTTCAATGTTACCAAACAGACTCTTAATTAGAAATGTTTACTGCAAGCCACTCCATATTGAGATAATACATAAAGATAGTACATGTCAGTTGAAGCATTATAATCTTCTTGACAGTGATTTTGTAACAATTGCAGTTGAGAATGCATCTAATTTAAATGCAGTAGCAATAATAACCAAATGCACAAGCACAGAAAAGAAAATTATATAATAATTCATAAAGCATCCAGAATGCACTAACCAGATTGTATTGATGTGCTCTATGTTATTTAATTGGGGATTGCTCACCATTCACCCTGTACTTGACAAGTACTTCACTAAGAAAATTTACTAATGCAAGGCGTGAAGGCGAATAATCACAGATTACTCATGAATTACTGGTCCTAATAGCTTACTACGCAACAATTTACCTAATTAGGCTGTGCTCGTGGACCTTAAATCATTATTTCTAGATAAAAAGCAAAAATTATTTCATACGCAAAATTAAACAATAAACGGAAATATTCTTAATAACTCTAGAATGTACAATGTCCGTATGATGATCTTGAGAATAAAGGAACTAAATAGGCAAGACCTCAGGCTTGTTTCCTAAGATTCTTTTTCCAATGTATAGCATATATTGGATGTAAAGGTAAAGGATAAATCATTTAGCAAGTTGTCGAACTATATATCTATCAAGCTGTCTATCGATATAACTATCAAGTATTCTCGACTATCCGCAGTAGAAGCTATAAACAAGAAAGCAAAGGTCTGTCTGTACAGACAACAATTTTCTGGATGCATCAATGTGGAAGTAGTTCTCTTTAAAAACTCACAGCTACGCTTGCCAATGCTGAGCTCAAAACCTCACCAGACCGTTTATCTGGTGACCCAAACTCCACTTTATTCTCCTGCATCTTCTCATAAGGAGTCTTGATATCATCGGGCCTTGTTGTGGTGTACACAATCCTCTTGGTGGGAGTCACACTTCTTAACAACAATTCAGACTCCTGCAATTTACTGAATTCACTCCCAGCCTCACTCTCAATCACGTCACTCATCCCTTCATTCTTCAACTTGAACATGAGGTGGACTCCATCAACTTCCACCTTTTGAATCTGGTTTGTGTGCACCTTACTCAAGAACTCACTGTACGGGACACTCACAAATTTAAGAGGAACCATCGGCTCTGACCCGGGAAACGGGATTCCCGGACGAAACAATCTCATGAAGAACATAGCTACCCCCAATTGCAATAGCAGTCCCATTTCATGTCCTTGAACTATGGGTTGCCAACGCCACTTCGACCACCACCGGTCCGCTTTCCCTTGACTTTCTTTACGAGGAGAACCCGAGCTTGAACCCGAACCTGTAGGTGATTTACTTTCTGTCGTAGTAGCTTCACTTGGGTCGTTCGAATCAGTGCCCTGTTCACGAGAACTGTTTGCCCTAACTCTAACCCCCCTATATCTGAAGCAACTGCTCGTCGGAGGGGTTCCTTGACGCTCCAACTGCTGGGGAATCGAAGAAATCCTAGATGGAGCTCTGAACGACGAAGGATTAACGATCAAATGACTCGAACTCCCATGTGCGAGCAAACAACGACTACATGATGTTATGGTCTGTCTGTAAAAGTATTTCGAGTTGAAGTTCCAATTCAACGAAATTTGGGGGTGAATTATCGGCGGGAACCCTTCTACGGCGGCCATTTTTCAGGCAGGAGGAAAACAAAGCAATTCGGCGATGGATGATAGGAATTAGGAAATCCCGTATTATTTTATTATTTTTTATAAAAAAATTCCACTTTTGATCTCAGGACTATTATACCACTTCCACATTTAGTCTCTTACTTTCAGATTGTCCACATTTAGTCCGTGACCATTATCCCCTCACCACCCCTCGTCCTTCTGTCCAAAATTCCGGCAAATTTAGTCCACTTTTCAGCCTCAGAATCAGTCTTTGCATTAAATTTTATATAAGGTTGGGTTTTTCATATTAGTCGTTGCATTAAATTTGAGTTTTCATACCTAAAATCCGCATTAATTTTGCCGGAATTTTGGTCGGAAGGACGAGGGGTGGTAAGGGGATAATGGTCACGGACTAAATGTGGACAATCTGAAAGTAAGGGACTAAATGTAGAAGTGATATAATAGTCACGGGATCAAAAGTGGAATTTGTTCTATTTTTTATTATGAATATCAGAGTAATCCAGCTTCCAGCCCACTCGTATAAAAAATAGATTGAAGAAAAAATGGGTCATCATAAGTCACAATCCATACATGGATAAGAGATCGAAAGAAACACGCAATATCGATTTGTACATCTTTTGAATAGTTCTGGAAAATAATGACAACAATCATTCCTACAAGTTTTATCATTCCTATAAGTTTTAATTAGACATTAGACAAATACTCCCTCCGTCTCTTAAAACTTTGATAAGTTTGACCGGCACAGGGATTAATAAAGTAAAAATTGTGTGGTTGAAGTTTGTGAAGAGGAAAGAGAATTAACTCGAACCACAAATTCTTTACTTAAAAGAGAAAGTGGCAAAATTAGTGGGACATCTAAAAAAGGAAAGTTGGTAAAGTTTTAAGAGACGGAGGGAGTATGTGACTTTGATTTGAAATAAGATTAAAATGATCACTTAAAAATGTTTTCTCTATTAATCTGTATTTAGGCTAAAGTGTCAAATAGGTACATGAATTAACTTAAAGTTTTCAATTTGGGCGGTTCCTGGTAAAAAAAAAATTGATGAATTTTTTTGAGAATCTTCTTCATTAAGTTTAGTTTACTCATATCAAATTTCAGCTAAAAATTAAATCGGGAAGGCAGTCAAATGATTTTCCGAAATGTACTGCTCTGTTTAACTGCGCAGTTATATTCAAAAAATCATTTGAGTGTCTTCCCGGTTGAATTTTTAACTGAAATTTGGTACGAGTAAACTAGACTTAATGAAGAAGATGTTCAAAAAAATTCATCAAAAAATTACACCTGGAAGTTCCCCAATTGGCGAGGGGCGAGCAGAACCTCCTATATAAGTAGTTAATCGAACACTTTAAGTTTCATGTACCTATCTGATCTTTTAGCCCTGTATTTATTCACATATGAATTGACGCTTCGGCTTCATCTACACTCTTCAATGGACAATCAAGAGCATCGTCGCTACTGCCTTTACTACCGCCATCATGTGTCCTTCTCCGCCTCTGCCGCACACTCGTTGTCATCATCTTCGCGCACCAGTCATCGCCGTTGCCTCCGACCACCAATTATTGCAGCCGCTATTGAAGAGTCATTGACGCAATTTTCTAGTGATTGGATGATGAGAATGATTTGAATAAGCGTCATATCTTTGATTGGGTGTGGATAGAGCTTGACGATGGTGGTGGAATGGTGCACATGGAATATTGGCTAGTGGTGGGGGGCAAGCTGGTGGTTGGGTGGCGGCTCGAGTTACAAATGGTGGTGGTGGCTGGCAGTCGAAGGCTAGTGTTGGGGACCAACAAACGGGGGCGGTTGAGTGATGGTTGGGGACAGAGAAAAAGGGACTCAAAGATAGACAAATTATCAATTCGGAGCTTGCAAGATAAAATGTATAGATATATGACTTGAATGATGAAAAACTATTAATCTAGGAGCTGCGGATGTTTTAACTTGGACTGAAATTTGTTGGTCTGGTCTATTTAAGTCTGGTCTGGTCTGGTACGTTTAAGTCTAGTCTGGTCTGAACTGGTGTGGTCTGATCTTGTAAACATCTGGTCTCTGTGTATTTTATAACTACGAAAGTCAAGTCTGGTCTATTCTGGTCCGTTTAACTTTGATCTGGTCTGGTCTGGTTTGTTTAAGTCTCGTCTAGTCTGTTTAAGTCTGGTCTGATCTAGTCTGAGACTGAAAACAATTCAAATAAAAACATCCTAGGTTGTCATGATTTTTTAAAATTTAAATATTATTACTATAAAATTGTTAGTAACAAATGCTAAAATTCATAGAAATTGAGGAAAAAATAAAAATTTATAAGGGAAATATTAGGTGACATAGTAGGTGCCTAGGCGAGCTAGAATCTAGACAGCCCGTCACCCTCCGACTAGTGCCTAGCCCCTAGCGCCTTTTAGAACATTGAGCAAATAACTAAATCAAACAATGATCTTTTTATTAAACATCTACAACCTTTTTCTTTTAAGATTTTTTATTTTCAATTACTAAAAGCTAATCATTATTATCCTGCATTTTCCTCTAATACTCCATTTGGAGCCATGTAAGGTGGAATAATACATATATGGATAGCTACACTATATGAAAAAACATTTGTGTAAATATATTAATTGTGTAGCTAATGTCAGAATTAACAATATTCTCATTTGCATTTCTAGTTTTTATACTACACAAAGCAATACAGTTTACTGACAAAATAAAAAAAAATGTGTACACGTGTATACATTTTGTTTGATTATTCTTTCTCATTTGTAAATATTATTACATTCGTCCCCCTAAAGTTTGATACATATGAAAGTGGTGCAGTTATTGAAAAAGAAAGATTATGTGATTTATATTATACTGATAAAGTAAAATAAAGTAAAATAAAGTAAGAACAATACATAAATATTAGGCTAAAGGGTCAAATAGGTCCCTGTACTCATATCAATAGCTCAATTGGGTACCCGAATTAAAAAAAGGTCCAATCCAATCCTCCAACTCTTCAAAATCGTTCAATTTTTTCGTTTAGCCGGTAAACTCCCGGTACTCAATTGAGCTATTGATATGAGTACAGGGACCTATTTGACCCTTTAGCCTTTGAAAAAACGAAAACATTGAGCGATTTTGAAGAGTTGGAGGATTGGATTGGACCTTTTTTTAGTTCGGGTACCCAATTGAGCTATTGATATGAGTACATGGACCTATTTTACCCTTTAGCCTAAATATTATCAAATTTAATATGTGACAATTTTAGTGAGACGGATCACAAATGAAAGATGAAACAATCTTATCATGATGAAGGAGTACTATAAAATATTCTCTATGTTCTTTATAACTTTATCATCTTCCCTTTATTGGATGTCCCAAAATTTCATCTCTTTTATTTTTAATCAACTAATTTGTGATTCTTATTGTTTCTCTTTCCTTTATCCAAACTTTAACCACAAAGATGATAGAATGTTTTTAATTGGATTGAAATTTTCTGATTTGGTCTAGTCTAGTATGGTTTGATCTGGCCTATTCTAGTTAATTTAAGTCTACTCTGGACTGGTCTAATAAATGTCTGGTTTCTCAGTATTTTATAGTTTTCGAAGTCTGGTCCGATCTGTTTAAGGCGTATAGCTAAGTCTTGTTTGGTCTGTTATGATATGGTTTAAGATTGGAATAAGTTCAAGTAAAACCATCTTTACTTTATAGTTTATTTTTCTTTGTGTTGGGAAATTGATGTAACGTACCTCGAAAGTATAACAACGGAAGTTTAAAATTTTCTCAAACATATATTCCCTAATTATGACAAAACAACTAATATAACAATAATAACATATCCGATTTAGAACTTACATATCTTCCAGTCTAGCGGTGATAATCCTTGACTGTAGATATCCACGTGATTTCTCCTTTTTGAAAGAACGGTTAGATCTCCGATAGAGAAAGGTTAGGAAATTTCTTCGCATGGAAATAAACTGGTAATACTGAATCTAAAAAACTAGTCCATTAATTATGAAGGAGGAATATGTATTTATACTAGTTCTAAACTAGTTTCCCAATCACAATAAGTCTTTCTCATTAATGAGTTCTAGTCCTGACAAGACCAATTCTCCTTATTAATGATATTGTTGGTCCAAAATAGGACACTCGTAGGCTCTTAGGAAAGCTACGTACGACACTCAAGCAAGAATTAGGAAAGTACAAATATGGAAAGTTAGCCAGAAATAGCATATCTGTATTTGAAATTCGAATTGCCTTTTATAGGCGATTACAAATGGTAACTGTCGAACATAATAATGACTAAATTAATTACAACATTAATAAGGAATTAAACACATAATTAAGTAGCGCATTGATTGTTGGCCGTTACTCTTCCTGGCTGGCAGGTCAGCCTGGCTGGCAGGCTGGACGCTTGAGCTCCCTCCTGCTGGACTGGACGGTGGGCTTCCCGCTAGGCTGGAGGAAGGCTTCTGACCGGACTGGAGGCAGGCTCCCGGGTAGGCTGGAAGGCAGGCTCCCGGGTAGGCTGGAAGGCAGGCTCCCGGGTAGGCTGGAAGGCAGGCTCCCCGTTGGGCTGGAGGCAGGCTCCCACCTGGGCTGGACTGCAGGCTCCCTGCTGGGCTGGACCGCAGGCTCCCAGCTGGGCTGGTGGTCGGCAGGCTCCTGGCTAGGCTGGAAGGCAGGCTCCCCACTGGGCTGGAAGGCAGGCTCCCGGGTAGGCTGGACCGCAGGCTCCCGGGTAGGCTGGAAGGAATGCTCCCGGGTAGGCTGGACCGCAGGCTCCCAGTTGGGCTGGACCGCAGGCTCCCAGCTGGGCTGGTGGTCGACAGGCTCCTGGCTAGGCTGGAAGGCAGGCTCCCGGGTAGGCTGGACCGCAGGCTCCCCGCTGGACTGGTCGACAGGCTCTCTTGGGCTTCCGCTCCTTGATTGCCCTGGTTGGTTGGGCTGACTCGAGCTCTGGGTTACTGGGCTTGGGCCCGCTGGTCCAAGTTCGGGGCCTGGGCCGATTAGGCTCTGGGCCTAGTCCCATAACCCCATCAGATATAATTAATTAAATGAAACGGAACAAACTAATAACATGAGTAAAGTGG